TACTTTAATACTATAGTACTTTATTTTAAAATATATTAAATAATAATGGACCAATAATTTAAGTAGTTAAGAATAAAAAAAAAGTTGTAAACCATAATAGTTTACTAATTTATTACTACTATTCTGTATTTCATCACTTATTTGACGAGTATTTACTTAAATATATACATTATTAATTAATCACAAGAAATAATATTATTATTACAAAAACTCAAGTAATTAGTATAGGTGGTTTTATAGAGGAGGCATGATGGCCAGGGGCAATCTGAACTTGAGTGACTATATTCCTGAAATTACGAGTAGTATGACCAGAAAAGTAAGTGTCCAGTACCAGTGTTTGGAAAGAAAGTCGTTCATGAACGCATGTTCACACGTTCACATTCATAATTAGTGAACGATACGCGAACGTCGCTCATTTTTTAAAAATAGAACGTGAATGTGAACAGCATTTATATTTTTAATGAATTTGAACTATTTTGAAGACGCTCAATTTATTTACTATTTAATAAATATAATATGTATATAATTTAGATACAATAGATATAATGTATATGCTCTAAAGTCTAAATTGTTTTTATTTTGGKGTTGAGACCTATATGTTTATGGGTTTTTATATAAACTGCTTGTAAACTATTTATAAAAAAAAAAATAGATGAACGACCTTATGAACACGTTCATTTTTTCAAAGAACGTGAACGCGTTCGTTCGAAAAAACATAAATGTGAGCGAATTCATTTTTTTAGTGAACGTTCCGAACACTGTCCAGTACCAACAAGTGCAGCAGAGGCGCAAAGAGAAGCATGCTCTTATGAATTAATATAACTTTGTTGGTTATTGGTAATCACAATGGTTTATTAAAAAGTTACATGAACAATAATAATCATATTATGGAGAACTTTAATTTGGGAGATAGTTCCCTTCAAAATTTAAATACAAGAAAAAAACCTATTACAGTTAAAAGGAATTATTTAAATTTACCGACATTTCAAAAATTATATACATATACAGAAACAAATCATTATTTTACAAAAATTACTAATAGTGAGATTTATATTAAGATTAATAACATTATACCAAAATATTAATAAAAGATGCTTGAAAAAAGTTTAAATTATATAACCTAAATACCGCGTTGGCAATGGAGTGCAATGTGTGGAGTTATAGTCTTTCATATAATAATCGGCCTAAAAACAAAAGTAAAAAATGTATAAATTTACTATTAGAATCAATATACTTTTAACTTCAAGAAAAGGCATTGAAAATGTATAACTTACCAAATACAGTAACATTTTTATTTTGTCTGAATCTTTCCAACCATCACCAAGATTTAATGGATAATTTTTACTGGATGATGGAAATAGTTTTGATTGAGTGTTTAAGTCAACATCATATTGCAAATGTACTTGATCTAAAAACAAGTATTAGCATTCAGATTTTTCATATATAAAGATTGTAATAACTTTATTACATACTTTGTTGTTCTCCAGTTGTGGATAACCAAACCCAAAGAGCTGATCTAGATTCACTGGAAAATAGTTTTGGAAATCTTTTTTCTAATAATGATTCAAGTAGGTAATTTGCTCGATTTGTAGCTACATTTTGAGGACTTTAAATAATAAAATATAAATTTAGATAATATACATTAATTAATAGTTGTATGCATTACTCAAGTGCAATGATTTCATCACTGGATCGTCGAATTAGAAGAACTGGCCCAGGATATTGAACTAAATTTTCAGCCACATTCAAATTTGTAAATTCTTTAACAGTGAACTCTACTAGTTTCTCAGCAAAGCTAGGCATCCGTGGAATTGCTAATGGTACTAGATCATCAAATGTAGCGTCCAGTATCTAAATACAAGCTAATAAGTAATAATTCAAGTATTTTCTAAGCACTTAAACTATTAACAATTACCACAGCATGTATATCAGGAAACTTTTTAGCTAAATAAGTAGATGCAAAACCACCAATACTCCAACCATATAATATAATATTTTTAGGACTAAATTTTAAATTCTTTATAGCAAATTCTATTACGGTTTCAGCTGCATTCTGTTCTTGTTTTATATATGGTACACCCTGTTAAAAAAAAAGAATGATAGACAACATACAAATAATTTTTAAATTTATATAAATTTACTGTACTATATCCAAATCCAGGATGATTCCATCCCAAGACAGAATGATGAGTTTCAATAGCAGAGCTCATAATCCCTGCTTCATAGAATCCAGCATTTCCTTCAGTACAAATAATCAATTTTGGGTTCAAAGAATTGTTTGATTGTCTAGAACAAATTTATAAGATAAGCCTACTTCAGACATAAATTTTAATTTRATAGGTACTAAGTTGATYTATATTAAATAAATATTAATTCTAATTAACCTTTTATCAATAAACATTGAGTCTACAAAATTTCCATCAATAGTTTTTAATTTATATCGTTCACCTCCAAATGAAGTGATTAAAGCTCGTCTACCTTTCTGTAAGTTTTGRTCCACTGTAATAAAATTAATTCAAATAGATTATTTGATATAATTTTTGTAGAAAATCTTACTTAAATAGAATAAAAGAGAAGTAGAACCGGGATAAATTAATGATATCCCAAAAGTATGCACTGCTATAAACCCAATGAGACGACTAGGACTACTCAAAAGTTTTAATGACATCTTATAATTATATCTTGTTAAATTTGATTTGTAGCTCTCTCTAAAAATAAATAAAAATCAACATCATTACAAATATATGTAATAATTAAATGTAATAAAATAATAAAATACTWACTCTTCAGCAGTATTCCATGAAAAGTCTATAGGCCATGCTGAAAAATCAAAGTCGTAGTTGTGCAGTTTTTTCTAATAAAAAAAAATATTGAATTGTAGTAATTTGAGTTGAAATAAAATAATACTTAACAAAAAATACTTAACATACCTTATTATCAGTCGAATAATCCAATTTAGCATTTATAAGATCTTTATGAAAAGCTCTATACTTTGGATTTATCGCTCTTCCATAACTTCTCAAAATAAATGTGGTCATTAAAGTTATTCCTAATATTGATCCGCGAAAAAATAGTTTGTTTACAAATTCTGGACTTAAGAACCATTTACCATACATGTATAATAATGCAGGTGAAAGGTAAGTGGCTACTTGTGAAACAATGTAAGTCTGAAAAAAACAAATAGTGTTATAGAATAGTTTATGTTATAGTTTATAATATTAGGTCAATTAAAAATGTCAACACTCAAACATCTTCTAAATCTTAATTTGCTTTTATATACTTTAATCTATAGCTATATACTGTACTRTTTTAACTAACTTTGTGTGAAAAGCAAGGTTCATTTAAAAATTGCAAAAAGTCCAATCAGAAACACCAAAATACCTCTCTTTTACTTATACTAAAGATTAAAGAACACAGATAAATAGCAAAATCATTATAATTAGTGAACTAACTTTACCATATTTGTTTTATGGAATAACTATGTTAGAGACTGCTCAGTGTGTTCACTGTTCAGTTCTAACTTCTAAAGTCTATACTTAAATCGTTACCGTATTAATTACTTTCACTGTTTTCTGTTTCAATAAATKCAATTTATAAACAAATGCATTTAATGATCATATGGTAATTTAACTATATAAGTACATGGCATATCTTAAAATTTATTGTTAATAATAAATTATAATACTATTGCATTAATAGTTAACACAATTTTATTATCTTATAASTATGAATCATTACAATTTAAAAAAGCAATAAGTAATGTATAATGTTAAACAAAACTATAAAAGTAAAAAAAAATACATATTTTATACATACAGTCATTAATATTCTGTCTGCTACTTTTTCTTGCCATAGTTGAACATAGTCCTGTAACAAATATTAAAAATTTAATAGGTACTATAACATGTAAAACTTTAAAAATCTTGCACAAAATGTATTTAAAAAATAATTTAATACATATAAGTTGACTAAATTTAAGTTTAAATTATCTGAAGTACATACACTTCAATACTGAAGAGTTAAAAACCACTCAATAATATAAATCATCAACATCAGCAAAATCTTCTATTTCTCTGTGACTCTGTAATAAACATGAACCTTTTTTCAACCATAAACAATCAAACCAGTGATATTTCCAATGAAATAATTCAATCTTAAACTAACATATCTATATAATTCCTTCAAAAAAACCAAACTACCATAGTAATACTAGCCTTTGTGAACATTCATAAAAATAAAAATAAAAAATATCAGAACTGAACTTCCAGGACACATAGATGTGTTAATTGAACCCAGCATTAAAATTTATACTGGTACATCCAATAGTGAACCTGGTGTATGCATTTTGGCTGAGCCATATTCAATTTTAAAAGTAATATATTGGATTAAAAACCAGTAACTTTATTACTATAGACCATATAACTAAAAGGGTTCAAAATGTGGACGTTCCAAATCAGTCTGATTTTATAGACAAAATTTAATTTTACATATTGATGCTTATTTGAGCTGCAGGCCCTATTTTTATATGCATCGTGACACACAATGTGCACCACGAATGTACAAGTGTGCACTATGATTTTAAAGGGATTTTAACCTGTATACAGTACGGTCCACAAAACAAAAATGACATAATATGCCAACTACTAAAAAATATGAGTATTTCCTGAATTTTGTTGCTTGATTTGATTGCATTGATAAATTATTATTATATGTATATATATATATATATATTATATATGAAATACATTGCTTTTTCTAAAATAGTAATGCATAAATGTTCGTTTAAAGCAGTAAAATTAGGTATGCTGTTCAAAATTTTACAAATAATATGGCCTGATTTGAGGTGTAAAAGCATATTTTGTCATTATAACATAGTAATAATTTTATATTTTATACAATTTTAATTTAAATAAAAGTGAGTTAATCCTCATGATAACAAATCAATACAAAAATCTTTTTGGTAATCAAAATGTATATTTTGTTAGCAAAATTGTTTTGTTTTCAGCACTATATTTATTACAACAATGCTGCTTAAAGAAAGGAAATAATAACATGGTTACTATCACAGTTTATAATAAATCTTTGATTGAACCACTGTACTAAATATAATAAAACTACAAAATTACAACACATATTATAATTATTTGGTTAAAATTCTAAACATTTTTTAATTAATAAAAATGTGATTGACTTAATGTTTTATTGATTTTGTTACCAAGATAATTGGACAATACATTTTATTAAAACTAAAAATGTTCTGTATTAATAATATTCAGTAATTTGATAAAAAAAAATTTTAATACATATATTGCATATTTTGATCATAYATATTTACATCATATTTAGCACCTTATTAGTGCAAATAAAGGTCCCTGCTTCTAAGCCAGTGGTTCCCAATCCATGGACCAAGGCCCACTTATCGGCCGCGAGCAGCATGGTACTGGGCCGTGAACCATATAATATTAAATATTATACATATATATATATATATATATATTAATTTTTTATATACCTTAAAATTTATGTTTTATAATATTTCTGGTTAGGTATAATAAAATTTAATCAATATTAACTACAGTGTAGATTAAGTGTACAATTAATGGTACTGAACGTTTGAATTTAGTTTTATYTCAAATAGTTTATTAATAGGTTCCTGTTATTTGTAATTTTTATCGTATTTACCATGCATGGTGTGAAACATGTGCAGGTTGTGATAAACATAACAGGTCTTTTGAATTTGTAAATTATTTGAAGATTCATTGATTGGACTTTACAAGATCAGACTAAAATTTTTTTT